ATATATATATATACATAGAGTAGATATACATATATGTATAAAAAAAAGATGATAAAACAGAAATATTTTTTAGAATAAAACAAATTTGCTTGATATTAAAAGTAAACTGCTCTTTAATTACGTATTTGCTAGTAAAAGCAGGCTGTTCTTATTTTATCGTGTCAAAATAAAGCTTAAAAACGCATGAATTGTTATGCCTAACTCCGTCAATGCAGTACAATGCCATCGGCGGCCTCATTCTATTTCGACGAGCGTAACTTTTTAAAGGCTTTCGACCCAATCGCGTATAGCTGTCTTCATTAAAAATGTAATGAAAATGCCATAAAGATGTATGACTCATCCAAGGGATCGATCGTTGTACCGTCTTAACTTTATTCATCTCTCCCGTGACGTGCATGTAATAAAAAGATAACATTGCTTACGTGAGAATGTAATCGATAGGTGATTTTTTTTCTTCTATTTTCTCTCCCTTAAAATATTTAAAATAAATTAAAAATACGTATAAAATATCCGGTCTAAAAAAAATTGGTAGAGATTGAATAGGAGGGATAAAGCTTCGTATATCTTCGTAAAATGAAGAGATATATGAAAAGACTGATGTGTGGAATTAGAGGAAATATCCACGACATCCCCAAAATACGCAATAACTCACATGCCTGACAAGGAAACGTCAAGAAATCACTCCGAATTGCTGTCCGTCAACTCTTTCAGGGCTCTATTATAGTTGGGAGAGACTGTTTTCGCGTTGACACATTGGGTGACCTACTTCGACGGTACCTCTTTATGACTCGTCGTCTTATATAGACAGAAATGTTAGATAGAGCCGACTTCTCATCATGAAGCTCCGTGCCGGATAAAATAGTGGATGATATGGCATGTCAAACGAGCAGAAATATTATATCTCGTTTTCTTTCACGTTTCAGAGTGGCCGCGTGCCAATAAACGAATCGCACCGTTCCAGTTCGCAAAGGAACAAAAAGAGATCGACTGATATTAAAACTTGGTGTATTATCTTAAAATAAAGCTGATCATATTTCATAGCTACGCCTCGTGATTTCTTTAATATAAGCTCAATGAGCATGAAATTTCGCGGAGCAAACGAGTTGGAAATTTTTACGCTGAATTACTAGCAAAGCAAGGATATTAATTTATTAAAATCGACCACTGCATCTGTCAAAAGACAAATCCATAAGAAGAAGAGAAAGAGAGAAAAAGCAAAATTAAAAATTCTGATTTTCTTTAAACTTTTAGTAAACAATTCAACGGATGAGAACTGGCATTTTCTATTTGTACAAAAAAAATCAAGCTTCTCTATATCTATGTCAGATATCGTTAAAAAATTCATATTAGAAAAATTCTCTTTTATCTGTTTCTTTCTCTCTTTCGCAAAATATCCAGAATCAAAACTTAATTAATGTTTTTGTTCATTGCGGTAAAGCATCTTGAAAATTTATTGCGTGCTGTAAATGCGGTATTATTTGATATTATTTCACCAGTATTATCAAAAAACGCATTTCAGAGAAATATTACATCGGCGCATTATTATATGCTGTTGTCGAGTATTATTGGATGCTGCACCATTTTGCAAACAAACTGTGCGCGACATTTGCTCCGCACTTCGTTATTCAAGTAACATTTAATGATGTTTATACGCGCGAGCGCTGTATGCGTGTTCTAAATATACAACATATTTTAGCGATCAATGACTGATCAAATAGGCAAGGCATACAGAGAATAACATTACACACGAACACTTACGGAAATAATAAACCTTTTTCGTGACACCGCTTTATTTCTAGCTTTGTGTGGAAAAAAGTCGTATAGATATTCTGAAGGAACTCGCGTGACTATTTATGACAGTTGAGTACAACGCGATTATATTTACAAACGAATAGAAATATTGTATGACAAAAATAAAAAGAAAAATGCACGAATATCATGGATTAGTAGTTCGTAATAAAATATTTCAAAGTAGTACAGTGTCTTTTATAAATATAAGAGATATATATATATTATTTGAATCAAAGAGAGCCGTTACAAATTTCTCGTAAGCGTATGTAACTCGGAAGATCTTCAACGCCTGCAAGAGCGATCGCGATTCTGTTCTCGACGTTACTCGCATCGTCTCTTGGATGTAAGTAAATATCCGTAATATCAGTTCAATCGTTTTCTGTCGCTCGTCGGAATGTCGTGTTGCGACACATACAAAAGCCATGCTTCGTCTGCAATGCGAAATCTGGGAGAAAGCTTTGAATTTGTTCGGAAGTGCAAATCTGTTGCGCATGACATGATCAAACAAGGATAAAGAATTCAAAGAGCACAGTCATGAAGAAAATAAGGGCGGTCATAGAAAAGAAGAGCGACAAACGGACATGGACATCGCTAAATATTCACTACAGAATTAATGTAACACCGGAGAGTTTCGGATTAAATTTCTGATTATGAGTATTTAAATTTTTTTAGACATGGAGTTTGCGCTTTCTCACCAATGTTCAGGAATTTCGCACCAAAGTTTTGCGCAAGGTCATTGAAATTCAAATTGTGCATTCGATCTTAGCCAATACGAAAGTAATGATTGCGAGGAAATTTAATTTCTTTATATACGTTAAGTATAATTATCGCATATTCATCACGATTGGAAGGATCAATTTATGCGGATGCAAAAGGAAAATATAAACAAAGAGATATTTCCAACCTTGTTTTTTTCCGAGAGAAAAGTTCTCTCATATCTTCATATTCCAGGCGATGGAAAAATGATGAATTTAAAATACGACAAAGTGCAGAGAAAGTCTCGTGATTCAATTAGCAAGAATAATTAATTAATCGCAAAGCAATGTGACGCTCATTAAAGTTGGTTATTCAATAAGATGTAAGGCATA